TCTAGCGGTTATCATTTCCGGATCTTTTATAGACGCGTTAGTTTTACCGTATTTACTGGTCCATCTATTATAGGACCTGTAAGTTTCAACGTTTTTAACTGTCCATCTATTAGAGGACCGTGTTAAGTTTCAGCTATCACTGTCTATCTATTAGAGGACTGTGTTAAGTTTCAACTATTACTGTCCATCTATTAGAGGACTGTGTTAAGTTTCAACTATCACTGTCCATCTGTAAGAGGACCGTGTTAAGTTTCAGCTATCACTGTCCATCTATTAGAGGACCGTGTTAAGTTTCAACTATCACCGTCCATCTATTAGAGAACAGTGTTAAGTTTCAACTATTACTGTCCATCTATTAGAGAACCGTGTTAAGTTTCTACTATCACTGTCCATCTATTAGAGGACTCTGTTAAGTTTCAACTATTACTGTCCATCTATTAGAGGACCGTGTTAAGTTTCAACTGTTACTGTCCATCTATTACAGAACTGTGTTAAATTTCAACTATTACTGTTCATCCTCAAGTGATATGCTATTTTAAATAAGTCATTTTCAATACAGAAATTCTGTTTTTGAGAGAGCTACATTGGCAAGATGCAGAGGAGAATTTTTTAAGCTACCAATAAAAAACTATGTACAGGTTAACAGATGAAAGTTGATCACCGCAAGATCTCTAGTAATATGTTAAATCTCAAAACTGTATTCTACAAAAAATAAAGGTTAGAATCAAAATTATTATAGTTTTAAAGATGCTTGTCAAATCACCCGATACACCATCAATGGATTCTTGTGCGACTGGACTAATCACAGAGGTTCAAATAATAGCAAATCATATGCTGCTTTTGTATGTTACAATCTGTACATGACAAGTTTTAAGATACCCTTGTTCTGTGTTAAGTCCAATCTACTACTTTTTGTACTTCATCACAGAGTTTGTATTTAGTTTGGTTGTTGTTAAGCGCAAAGCTAAATAATGGGCTATCTATACCCTGTCCACCACATGTATCAAAACCCAAATTTTAGTGTTGTAAACCTTCAGACTTTAAATATCACCAAACCACTGGGGGAGCCCACAGAATTTGTAAATTATACTGCTGCACAGGTTCAGAAAAGTGAAAGTTAACAGTCACGAAAGATCCCCAGTTTTTCAATTATAGTACAAAAATAACCATTAATAACGCTCTTTTGGATTCTACATAATACATTAACATGTAAAAATTAACTGCATGCAAACATTGATCTCAGACAGATTAATTAACAAAACAAAGAAACAATATATCCCACTGAAATGTGTCATAACAAATGCACTAAACATGTCAGTATTATGTTTGAATGAAATTAAAAATTACTTTCAAATACCTGTATAATGAAGCGAATTGCAACTATACCGGCTGTAGACATGATTTTGGCACTATTAGGAATGAGACTGATCAAGGTTTGCAAAACAGCTTCTGAAAAATGATCAAGTTTACTACCCATCTGCTGAGAAAGGAATCTGTAAACAAATGAAAAACAAAAACAGTCAAACTTGTTCAAAACAAACTGATGTATAGACAAAACAGGTAATGATTATTGTATTTTGGCACTTGCGTATAAAGTTAAAATCATAAATAATGTTCAACGTTAAACTGGTACACAATTAAAAAACATTTTATTTAGGCCTATCTATGGCCTTCAAAAATTTGACGACTCTACAACACTCCTGAGGATGATGTTGCAACGTCGAAACATGTAGAGTCATCAACTTTTGAAGGCCATAGATAGGCCAAAATAAAATGTTTTTAGTTGTGTACCAGTTTAACATTGAATATTATTTATGATTTCAGGTAATGATTATCCAAAAGTGCAATAAAACTCCAGAACTAACTTTATTTTGACAGCAGCAAATTTCAGACTTCACTTTCTACATTAATTCAATCCAAACATTTATCAATGGTCACAGTTAAAACATTCCAAACGAGTCTCATCAGTATTATTCAAATTCCAATACACTTCCAAATGTAGGAAATACAAACCAATAATAAAACACAAAACACATGCACTAAATCTTAGAAACAAGATGGAATTCACCAAAAGCGTTCCTGCGACAGATATTAACAGTTCTTAAGATATATTTACTAGTGTTGCAATAACATAAGTACATCAGTGGCTAGAGTAAAGGTCAACAATATTAGAGGAAATTATTTTATGTTCTTATTCTGCATGCCAATACAACTAACATAACTGTATTATGTACAGTTAACATTATTTCAATCTACACGAGAAGAAAGCATTGCACAGAGTGATCACTTTGTAAAACTATATTCACTTTTTTGCCATATTTTCATACTGACATTCCACATGAGAAGAAAAGGCATTGCGCAGAGTGATCACTTTGTAAAACTATATTCACTTTTTTGCCATATTTTCATACTGACATTCCACATGAGGAGAAAAGGCATTGTGCAGAGTGATCACTTTGTAAAACTATATTCACTTTTTTGCCATATTTTCATACTGAAATTACACATGAGAAGAAAAAGCATTGCGCAGAGTGATCACTTTGTAAAACTATGTTCGCTTTTTGCCAGATTTTCATACTAAAAGTTAAATTCCTTGATATATCCATTATTAATGTAACTCATTCTTTTCACTCCATTTCCCACAGGTTGATACTTAATTTTAAAATGTTATTCAAGAAAAAATTGTGAATCTTTTTAAAAAGATATACATAATCTTACATCCCCAACCTTGCTTTCAGCCTTTCTTTTAAAGAAAATATAAATTTACTTAATCTAAGAGTATATTTTATAAGTTGTTATGGATCACTAACTAGCTTCCTATTGCTAAAATGCTCTGAATGAAAACTGTTGGCAGGTTGATAAAAGGATATCTTCTCTTACATGTAAATCAACAGCTAAAACTCCTAACTTTTCTATAACAAAGTTATTTTAATTTCAGTAGTTAACTGTGTCATTAATATCATTTCTGTATCTAAAGATAAACGTTAAGTAACTGATACAAGAAAGCTGTTGTTACAAGAATCTTTACTTATCTGTCAAACCGATATAATCTTGGTCCCCCCAACTAACTATTCCCATATTTTTTCAATAATATAATAAGTTCTTAAAAACTTTCAACAGTTTATTATAATAAGTTGAATATTTCAGATAGATCTCAAGAAATGCTCACTTGGCTTGACTAGGAGAGAGTTACAGTAAACCATATCTATTAAATAGAATCCGAATTCTTCAAAAACATTACTGGCAAGCCAGCTAAAATTAAAGATGAAAATAACTCATTTATGCCATAAAAAATAATTCCAACTTGTATAGGTTCTATCTTGTTTTATGATCATAGTGTAAATAAGATCTAGTACTGTAGATGAATACAAGAAATTATAAAATTTCTAGAACAAAATAATATGCAGTTCTAAAACAGTTTCTTATAAAATTATTTTTTTTCTTTTAAAGAACAATTTATATTCTGATTTAACTGCAATGTTAATAACATACCCAAGTTGCATTTTGAAAAGTTTCGACACATTGTTAACTTTCAATCACACTTTTTCTTATTATAAGGTTAAAGAAGTAAACAACAAAAAAAGTATGTTCAAAAATACCTACGCTATTGTAATACAGGCTTCACGAACAACTTGTGAACGAAGGTCTTTCACTGAAATCTGAAATGGTACTTCTAACTGACGGAGGCTAAGATATAGCTCTTCATATTCAGTTGCACCAGCAATAATGAAACTTCGAAGCTTTTTCATCTTTAAAAACAACAGAATATTTAAATTATGTTTTAAATGTGGAAAACATTTTTTTATAGAACTGATTATGCAAAACATATTTAATCTTTGTTTGAAAATCATTTTTAACCAATGAGAATAAATACAAAACATTAATGCATTTCTAAATATTTAACTTAAATTTCTAAAATAACATTTTTCTGTACAGTAAAAATAAAAAGACATTGTGTTATTAATTATATTTGAAAACTAACAATGAATTAAGATATTTTAAACTCACTGCTTCAATACGTTTTCCCCACTCATTGTTGGGATTAGACAATGTTTCTTTTATTTTTCCAAGCTGATTCTCCAATTCTCGTCCAGAGAACAACTGATGGAAGAAAAACTTCTGTTTTAATACATACATGTCAGATGGAAATAAAACTCACTCACTGAAAGTTAACAAAAGATTTATGATGTTATTTCATTTAAATCTCACATGTAAATAATATTTGTAGTTTTTCTTTAACATATTCAAATCTCAGCTTAAGCTATAAAATTTAAGTGTCAAAAAAATACAAATACCTACTGTTGCATGTACTTCACAACTGGACAATCATGTGACTAATACCAGACAAAATTGTTTCATACAAGCCTGGTATTAAGACATCATTTGAATCTAGCACTAAAACAGTTGTGACTTCGGAAGTCAACTAAAAACAATATATCTATGATCTTTATCCCCAACAGTTTTTCTTCTGTGGGATACAGTATACATACAATATTCACAATAATTAAGCCAGACTCCCACCCCACATTTTTGTCACAAAATGCACCCATGGTGTTTAGTATCCCTAAAAATCTGACAGACTTTTTAAAGTAAAGAGAAAAAAATAATATATATATATATATATATATAAAGACAAAATGTGTCTTTGTTTACATCCTAACTCCTCCAAGCCTATTAGGCCAATCTCAACCAAAATTTTTATGTAAATACTATGAACTATGGCGAATGTCCTAAGGGGGGTCAAAATTGAACTTAACCCTATTTCTATTTTGTAAAGCCTGTTGGTTAATCACTCACAGTCTATTGAGTCAATCTCAAACAATCTTATCAGGACAATGTTGAATATTCAAAGGGACTCAAAGTCAAAGTATGAAATTTGCTGGATTGTTCCTCAAACAACAATGCTTTTCTCATGGTCAATAGGATGAAGGGTGTTCAAGGGTGGGATCACCTCAAAATCTATTTGTTGGTAGATGGAAAGCAAACTGCAAATGTTGTTTATAAAGAATCTTCGTTATAATTTCAAAATTTTGAAATAAAGTTTATGTTGAAGTTATTACTTTGAAATATATGATTGCTGTTAAACTTACTAAACATTCCCTATTGGTCGACAGGTATTTCAGCTTGTATATGATAGTTAGGATTAACTAAATTAAGAGAGTCATCCATTATCTTTAAATCAATCTTTGTTTTAGACTCTATATAGATCTTAATATTGAACAAAAATTATGCTTTTAGAAAAGGAAACAGAATATAAGTAATGGTTCTTGAGGAACAAGTTCTGTGTAACCTCATTGATTAACCTACATACTTTTAATTTTTATGTAAACTTCTGCAGAAAATTAGCTTGCAGTCAACCTGTTGTAGTTCAGATTTATTTGATCTAATACATGATGATTATTAGCTAAAAACACATTGTATTGACTGGTCTATTTCATAACTTTAATCTATGTTAAAAACTAAGCTAACATTAAATATAACTTCTAATTACTATTCTCTGACACAATGAACATCTTAGAAAAAGAGAAAATATCATGGTTATAACATTTGTATGTTAATTTAATAAACTGTTTGCTTTGAATTTTTATAAAGTAAAGAAATCCAACATCTGTTAGTTTCTACAAATTTATGTCTAAAGACACACTGGAAACAGCCTGTTCCTCTTTGAAGTGTTAAAAATCTTGTTTTGAAGCACAATTTCCACTTCTAACAACTAAGAAATAGGCAAAAATAACTTACTAAATTAAATTACTGCTGATAAAAACCATTTTTCTATAACTGTTTAATAAATTTTTATCTATAATTTAAAAGATTTAACAGAATGTATGGCAACTGCTAACGAAACCTTTCAGACTCAATTATGCTCTAGTAGTCTTATTAAACTATTTCAGTTTCATGGTATGGATAGTTTAGTAACAGCACGTACTTTGAACCAATGAATGTTTGAACTAACCAACATTTTTTCTAGAATGTAACAAAAATAAGTAATTTTAAAAAGATACCTGCACCCTAGGCACATCTTCAAATGCTTTCATGAACATTTCTTCATCAGCTGCTCCAGCTGGAACTGGAATAATTTATAAAAAAAGTAAAAACTTTTCCAACCAAGCTTTCAAAAGCAGTCACAAAAAACAAACAATAAGTATATACATTAAAAAAGAAATTATCACTTTAATGGTGTTACAAAGAAGAAATAGTGATTGTTAACACTAATTTACCTGGAGTAAAAAAATGAAAGAATTGTACTTTCATTGAATATCAGTGCTAAAAGTCAAAATCAAAATAGCTAGGTAACGATGACAGCCATTAACATACCTTTTGGGGACAGGGGACATAATGAGAAAAACAAAGAAAGCATGAAAGTAATAAAGTAATTTTTTTATATGTTTGTGAGTGGTTGTATACAGAGCAAAACTTTAGACTCATAAAATTAAGAAATAATACAAAAACAAATACCCGGGAAAACAATCTTGGTTATTATATTCAAAATATTGGAAAAAAAATATATAAATTTTGTCTTAAAATTTTTTTACATACGACTCAATCCTTTAACAGCAGCAACATTCAAGTTGAATTGGTACTAATATTATGATGGTATAACATGGAAGTATTATAAAGTATTACTTATTAATCTAAAAAGTATAAACGAAATACTTCTGTTAAGTGTAATCAATAAACCCACCTCCAGCAGAGACTGTATATTTTTCCGAACCATTCTTTGGGCTGCGTTTTTGCTGCAAAGCTTACAAAAAGAACAAAAATGAAAATAATGTAAATTTCATATGGTGTACATGTATAAAGTAAGCAAACATGGCACTTTTTATAACTTCCCAAAGCTACATAATAGTTTAATAAACTACAGTAGAATTATGTTACCTACTATACTCTTAAACAATTTTTAATACTTCAAATTAAGTTTATAGCTAACAATAAATATAATACTATAGAAACCTGGTTTGAATTAAAAGTTTAAAACACAAGAGGAAAAAATTACACAAATTTCTTAACATACATATAATTTAACCCTACAAAAGATTCAAAAGTTTATGGAAATATATATAACAGAAATGTCTAAGTTTACATAATTACTTCTTGTTGGACATTTTAAATAAAGCTTTTATTGAATATGGTACAAACTATTTATTTAAACTATAAACACAGAAATACATTTGCAGTATATACTCTTGATTTAATACACACAAACTAATAGTTATAAGAAGCAAATAAATTATTTCCACTAGTCATCTCCTAGGATTTGTCAACCTATTCCACGCAATTCTGATTTGTGTTTTTTAATGCCAATATGAATATTAAAAAATGCACAATTTACAAACTCTTTACATATTGTTAAGTGCATTTTCTACCATTTTAAATACTGGTATACAAGTATGCCTATCTTTCTCTATTTCTAGGACAATCTAAGTAAATTCAAGTTTAGGATTATGTGCATGGCTATATACATATTGATCACTATGCCTAGTTTTAGGATTATGAAGAAGAATTATTAAATGTAGTCATGAAATGATACTAGAAATAATAAAAATAATAAACTAAGTTCTAGTCCTGTTATCCAACATTAACAAACTACTTCACCTGATACAATCAAAGAGACAAATAATTACCTAAATTCTAGTCCTAATATCCAACACTAAAAAACGACTTCACCCGATACAATCAAAGTGGCAAATAATTAACTAAACTCAATAGTCCTATTATCCAACATTAACAAACGACTTCACCTGATACAATCAAAGAGACAAATAATTACCTAAATTCTAGTCCTAATATCCAACATTAACAAACGACTTAACCTGATACAATCAAAGAGACATATATTTACCTAAATTCTAGTCCTAATATCCAACATTAACAAACGACTTAACACGATACAATCAAAGAGACAAATAATTACCTAAATTCTAGTCCTAATATCCAACATTAACAAACGACTTCATCCGATACAATCAGAGACAAATAATTAACTAAACTCAATAGTCCTATTATCCTGATTGTATCAGGTGAAGTCGTTTGTTAATGTTGACAAATAATTAACTAAATTCTAGTCCTAATATCCAACACTAACAAACGACTTCACCTGATACAATCAGAAAGATAATGAAGTTGCTACTGCATTTTACTATTTTGGAGAAAAACAACTTTTTGAATTAATTTTGTCAGCTTCAAACATTAGAATGAGACTGCACTGTCAGATGGTAGAACTCAGAAAAAATAAACAAACACTTGTTAAATTGCTTGTCAGTGTGGGATCCAATAATAGCACATAATGTGGATAAGCAGTTACTATACACAATGAAAGCAAGACACTTCTACCTAGATTTATCAAACACGCTATAGAAAAATAAAAATAGAATCATTAAGCATATACGTACTGGAAGTGCGTTTTGGGGTTGATAACATTGTCTTTCTTGGAGGTGGGGCACTACTGGCTCGTTTGGCTGATGATTTGGAGGACTGTAAGAATACAAGAATGTTTAATTAGATTTGAGATGTCACTACACTATACACACAGTTTTGCATAAATAAGATACACAACAACAGCTATTGTATAGTACTTAACACCTGTAAGGTAATTTTATTCATAAATTGACATTTCTTTCCTGTTTGTATAAATGTTATAAATTTACAAAAATAGTCAAAGAATATTTTATTAGTATGAAAACCTGAAATGATAACATTTTAAAATACTGCATTTTGTTTGTCAGCTATTTCTAACTACACTGAGTTGCAGACATAGAAAGAACTAAAACAGCCTTTGCTCAGCTGCAACAAGTAGAATGTATAAAACTTGACAATCCTACAAAATATATGTTTGAGAAGTGCTGAACATCAAGAATCAGGGGCTATAGCTAGCATACTTTACACGATTACCAAAAGGACTAACAACCATTTTCTCCCATGTTGTAAAACTGATCAACACCAAATAATATTTCTATTAAAGCTGTTTTTATTTTTACTTGTGTGATACTAACTAAACACTTAAGGTAGATATTTTCAAGAAAGATGAGATAAGGTGCTTAAACTAATTTGGTTTAAAAATATAGTTCAAATTAGCACTGAAACTATGGAGAAAACTTCAATATATTTAGTTTCTTTTCATATGTACTGCCTATAGAAATCTACTGTAGATCTACCAAACTTCCCTATAGCATCATCACAACTCGTTAGATATTATTGTTCAACAAAATAATCATGAATATACTTCTATATGAACTTATGAACTGAAATTTCTGTATAATTCTAGTTTTAGAAAAATTTTAAAGAATATAACAATGAAGAACAAAACAAGTAGAATAAAACATCATTCAAATTTTAAAATATGATTACGGAAACTAAATCAACTTACTGTTGAAAAAAAACTCAACATTCTAGTAAACAAATTTATTTTTTGTTAAAAAATAGTTTGCTGTTATTATTTAGTTTTAACAGTCAGAACTTCCAGCCAATAACAAGCATGTAACGAATGTCTGAAGTACTTACCGAGTCAACATCACTGCTGTCAGATTGCTAATAGCAAGTAAATTTGAAAATTAATTTAAAATCAGAAAATTTCGTAAAAATTTTTACACGTGTACATGTATTGTGTGTGATATTAAACTAAGAAAAACATAAGATACATCTTAAATTTTTCATTATTGCTCAATTAACTGAAGTAAAACTGATGTCATATAAGACATACTTGAAATTTACTGGCACAAAGAACCATTAAAAAAATCATGCGAGAATTAAATAACTTTCAATAGATAATAGTTTAAAAGTAAATCAGTTTGGTTATTTATCTCATAATTAGCTGGTGACTAATATTTTGAAATATTCATCAATGAGAAAAAATTTTTTACACAAGCATCTTGCTATTGAAAAAAACCATTAAATTGCTTAACTTTGCGACTTAGCTGTTGAGATTTGTGCTTTAAAAATGATAATGATTTTGAAACATTTGAAACAAGTAGAATTAATTTGTTGAACTCTCTTGTATATTCTAGTGAAGAAGTAGGATCTTATGCTATTATTATGTTTAATACACTAAAATAAATATGACATGTAAAAGTTTAGAAGTTATCATAATTTTATGGGTCTGAGGAGGTTAAGTAACAATAAATAAATATTTATTATGTTACTATCACATTTATCAAAATCAAATATAAATCTCAATATATGAATGCAATACCTTGCCATTTAATTTGGAAAAATATGCATATTAAAACTTTAAGCTTGAAATTTCACACAGTAGTCACACTTCATAATTAAGTTTATGACCAAAATCAGTACTATACAAATTTTCAACAAAACCAAAGTTTCTGTGAAAGCATATTTATAACTTGAGAGGGCTCTGGTGTTAAAAAAAAAATCATATATCATGAATGAACAAAAAAAAAACTAGGTAAATAAAACTAATTAAAAGTAAGTCGTGCATGCAGAAAATGCATTAAGTTTATGACATATCTTTTACTTTACCCGAGAACAATATCTTATAATATATACACATGTAATACATACATTTTCTAAAACTGTTTTAGTGTTTATACTAGCAGATGTCTACAGTAAAAAAAAACAAAAACTTTGTTTCAGTGCAAAGTTTTATAACAGGCTATCTGTGCTGTCCCATACAAGGAGTGTTGAATCTCTGATTTTAGCATTGTAAGTCTGTAAATTCACTGCTGACAACTCACTTAGCTCAAATGCATCAAGGACAAAATATTTCAAATCCTCCCATAACATGTCCTTTAGCTTCCTTGAACACTTTTTGATTTAGTATAAAAGTTTGGTATTACTAATTTTGAGAAAGATATTAAAAACTTAAGTTTT